TATTATATAAGATCCCGCGACAAGAATGGGACTTAAAAAGGTTATAAGGGTAATACGTATAATGTTCTTAATCAGTAATTTGGTCCAAATTCATATGTTGCAGGAACTTGGAATTCCCAGATCGTCAGATCTAAACCCACCTTAAGCGATCGTCGAATCTAAGGGGGTTAAGTTTACCAGAAAAAATAACAAAATAGGCTCAGTGTTTGGAACTTATGACCGAGCGGAGTTGCTTTGTTAAGTGTGGTATGGTATTGTGTTAGGGTAACGTAATTACTAAGCTTGTGATTTTTCTTCTGACAGGTTCTCTAGATCTAACGAATGTGAAGTATAAATAAGCGATTTTTTTATTTCTTGTAGGTGGGTTATAATAATATTTTTGCTCGTGTATATTTTTTACCCGACTATAGTTATTTCTTAAAGTAATGAAGCATTTTATCTAATGGAGACTATGAAACGATTTTTTACTTACTATATTTTTTTGTATTTAGAAACGAAAAATAAGCAGTAATAAAAAAACCACCACCCCTAAGAACAAGAAAAACAAAACCCCCAACTATTCAAAGCGACAATACAAGCCGAGACAATTTTTATCTTGTAAGTAGACTTCATCCCGTGCCAGTGCATTCGCGCCGAAATATAGCTATCTGAACTAAGTTTTTTATTTTACTAAAAATTAGATGATAAGACCTGGGGAAAAATGTCAAAAGAAAACTTAGAGCGTGATGAGGAAAATGATGATAATTCTTGGCTGAATCCCGGTCAGCGCCAGAATATGTTAGATCAAATGTAAACCACACCGACATAGCCAAGGGTGCCTTTTTGAGGCGTATATTTTTTTTATTTGTTTTTTTTTATCTGTATATTATCGTTCCGGCAATAATTTTTATAAATAAAGAAGGGTCCATTGGGCTCCCTATTTTTATTATTTAACGCAGGATAAAATATATTTAACTTTTTTTGTTCCTTTTTTTAATGCGATTTTAATAATCGTCATACCCATTCTCTGATTTATAAAGCTTTTATTGTCAAGTGAAAGACAAGGCTCATTGAGAAAGATCTGAACTATGTTCAGCGAATCTCTGATCCCTTTGCCAATCTTTCACATCACAGAAATAAGATTAGCCAAACTTAATAAATGTCTAAATAATTCTATACTTAATTACACCGGGAAAACCGCCGTTTCGGGTAAAATATTTCTAATTGTTGCACTTGAATTCGCACTTTAATCTTTTTTCTTTTTGCATTTGATCTAATGTGAAGGACCAATATTATAATTTTATGCTTTTTACAGTACGTCTTTTTAATACACAATGCCATAAAAATATTGCAAGTAGCTGAGAAATTCCTTCATAAGCTCGTCAAATTAACAGTAAAATTAAAATTGTAAGCAATTTTATCAGAATAAAACCCCACACAGTATAATGAGATCACCTCAATAATTCCTTAAATTCAGATGAGCTTGGTTCTTCAATCATGTATCCAATTTGTTCGGAATAATTGTAATGACTTGACCTTCTACTCATAAACTCACTCGCGATCCCCTGAACGTGTTGCTTTGTAATGAAAATAAACAAAATTTGCTGTGAAAGTTAAATGCGAATACAAAAAAAATGGAACATACTATTTACCTCTATCTTATCAATATGATATACTGACAATACCAGCATTGGAAATAATGCTTTTTCTGTTACTAACTTGGTGGCAAGCAAAGGACATGACCGATATATACCATCATACTGTAAATCCATAACATATGAATTTACATCATCCCCTGGATTATCAACCATATTTTGTTAAAATCATATAAAAGTATTTTAACTAAGAAAAGCATATACGTACCCATGTTTAAAAAAATAATCGATTGATTCGGACCGCCTTCATTTAAAAGCTGATTTATTGATCTTTTAGACCGTAAATGTGCCTTAACGAAATCTTTATTTTTTTGTAATTCCGTGCAACCCAATGGCTTTATTTCGGAATTTAATATTGTAATATCATTGATTCTACAGCTAAAATCTGGTCTTTTCAGTGTCCCATTTACACTTTTATCCATCCTTATTTCGTAGTCTTTTGAATCTCCACAGAAAAATGGTCTCAACAAAGGATCTAAATAATTAAATCGATGCTCATTTTCCGTGGTTCTTTTTATTTGTACTGACGGTAAGTCTTCTTTTCTAGGCACCAAAATCGAATCGATTTATTTCTGGTTTTTAGTTTTTCATCATTATCAAAAAAAAACTTGATGGCAACTTACAGATTATTGAATACTCGGCTAGCTTTCTTACCCAGATCACTTCCATCATTCAATATGAAATTGCCATCTAATCCAATTGCAATATTATTGCATGCCTCAGATAATGAAGATGCGAAGGGGTTGGTCCAAACCGACTCTTTGACAGTGTAAGGATTGGTATTAATTATTTGCTTCCATTCATATGGAGTAAATGTAGAATATGGGCATGGTTTAATTAATACGATTACTGATGCAAGTGCTCTAAATATAAATATGGGAAGATTAATAGTACATTTTCAATAAATATATAGTGAAACTATAAATATTTTAAAATACTTACAAGATTTCGTATTTGTCATTCCATGTTAATTTTACCCTCCCATTTATTACATTTTCTATTAATTGTATTTGAAATTCTTTGAACTTTTTTGACACATTAATTGTGCCTACGATCCACTAAAACAAAATTACAAATTACAATTATTCTGTTATACATATGAAATTATAAAAATTAAAAATTCAGTTTATTGCGTACATCATTTCTTGGCTGAGCTTCGAGGCGCTTTTTTAATTTATTTAATTTTCTGGTAATTGCTTCACTCTCGCTCCCATCATTCTCGTCGTCATCCGGTAGCTTCGGGAAGGAACTGGAAGATTCATTCAAGGATCGGATGGGTTCATTTTTAACCTAAATCAGAAAGGTTAATCATTAGCTTCGTAGTAACCTAAATAGTGTAGGTATTACTCACTCTCTTTGATTTCTCCTCGTAATCTGAATTCGTTTCCTCTCTCGATGAGCTTTCGGCATAATTTGTTGAATGGTTTCTCTTTCTGAGCCTGGAAGGAGGTTCTTCAACGCCCGATTGCTCGTGAACTTTATAAGGTTGTTTATGCCCCTGAATAATATTACCAGTACCAGCAAACTGTACTCCATCGCAGGATAAATTACAAGATAAAAATATATTTTCTGCGTTTATTTTTTCATTCTCTCTAAC